CATAAACTAAGATGTAGATTATGTACTTCTTGGGGACAGCTGACTACTATGGAAAATTTGTGCACAACTACAGTGCCCCAGCCAAACCCCTGGCTGATTTTACCAAGAAGAAACTGCCTACGCTGGTATCCTGGATGTAAGAATGTGAGAAGGCCTTCCAGGCCTTAAAAAAGGCACTGGCCAGTACTCCTGTATTAAAAGCTCCAGATTTTCCCCATCAGTTTTTGGTGCAACCCAATGTTTCTGCCTATGACTTAGATGGTCCTATCCAGTTGGATTGGTCAGGAAAGCTGCAACAATACCTGTATGGCTGCAGCTTCACAGCCATCACCTACCATAATCCACTCAGCTGGTTAAATCATACTGTTGGGGAGAATGACAAGCTATTGGTGCTTGATTCTCCAGCAATACAATTTCAACATACAGCATATAAAAATAGCAGAGCCAGCAGAAATCAGTTGCGTTGAAAAGGGACTTGTAATCCCTTCTGTGCAACTTCCCAAAGAGGGGATGTGTGATGGCAATGAGGTTCTACCAACCTTAAATAACTATACGTTATATATAACTTATTGTTATAATAACTAAGTAAAGATTACTATTAAAAAAAATTATATTTTTCCTTTAAATATGACACCCACTTTCACAAAACACGGTAATCAAGAAATTGGGCAGAGGAGTGTGCTCTATAAAAACCTGGTCCTGACCTCATATCCATTGCAAGAAATAGTTTGTAATAATTAACTGAATGCAGGTTTATTGTACTTGCATAATCAACACTCCCTTCATTTTTTTGGGAACATGGAGATATTTTCTAAGAATTAGTGGAGCAGCCAACAAATACTCAAACAAATCAGTTTCACTGGAAAATGCCAGATTGCCAGTCCTGGTCTGGATCTGAGGCTTGCAGTAAATAAAACAGGATAGTACTTTTATGGCCACAGAAGGTAAGTAGCAGGTCCCTAGAATGGTTTCAGGTCCCTAGCTCCTTTACACATTTCATTGTTCCAGGGCTTATTCACACTGACCCTGTTTCCCTTTGGTCATGCTTTGTTGCATGCTTCTTTCTATGAGCTGTTTAGGCCACCGTAGGCATTAATTAATGCATGGCTACACATTTACATATATTTTATATGTATCTATGACAATAAATATTTACAAATGGAGAATAGTTCAAATTCTGGGTATAAAAATGCATACAAAGTGCAATAACATTTTAAAAACCCCTAGACAATGCATAAAAACACACCAAAAAGAGTTTAAATGTGATTTGTAATGTGAAATGCTTGTTAAAAAATACCTCTTTTGTTATTGTCATGACTGGCACAATTTCATTAAGTACTACTGATAAGTTTGGGTAGTGTCATTTCTATGGGACTTTGACATGATTTGTAGGTTTACCAATATATTCGTTTTTGATTGATGAGCTGCCCTTAGCAGTCCAAATGTATTAAGATATTGCTATATATTAACACTTAATTAACAATATTAGTTCACGTCATACATTGGATGAATCCTCACTTTATGAATGATTGTATGTTGCTTTTACAATCATAGCTTCTAATTTGGGAAAATAACATGGCAGGTAAGCAAGCGCCTGACAGATTTAGCTATTGCATGGGCTAGTTTTATAAGGGACATATTTTCTGCAGTCCTTCTTGCATTCAAATGGTGACTACATATTGTATTCTGCAATTTAGCTGCTCATGACTCACATTTCAGTTACGGCTGGACACTGCTGGGTTTAATTATTCACTAGCTTTTTGGATGTCTAGTGATTTCTAGGTGTGAAGATTGCCTGCCAGAGTTTCCAGCACGTTGTGCCCAGTCCCTCACATTTTCCATACCACTGGTCATAATTCGTCCTGCTGCAATCTTCATAATGCTGCATAGATCATTCATCCACAAACCACCAGAGGGACACAGGCGTGTGCCAGCTGAGCCAGCAAGAATTAGGCGAACGCTGGTAGAGGGTAGGTGAAGCCAATACCGTTATAACTTCACCTGTTCCCACTAGCGGTATAGGTTGCATTGCGCTCAATTTTACACCTGTCCGATGTCACTAGCACAAAAGGACTGCTTTCATCTGAACGGCTGCTGTGTGCATCACCTATATTTTATACTTCTTATATAACATAAACCACTGGGATTGTGCAGGGCAATTCAATCCAGTACTATAGTATAATAGTGCCTATCAGATGGAATAAAGATCCCAAGCTTTAATGCCATAAAAGCTGTCAAAATAAGACATGATTTATCCTGATCTTCTGAGAGGTTGTATCTGTTTTAGGGTTAAAAGCCAAATAAGATACAGGAATGGTAAATTCAAGCAGCTGTAGCCTCCGTTTGGCAAAGCGAGTACAGATTCTTCTGCCGGAATCCTGTAAGTGCTCATGGGGGAAATGGCTTTGCCAGGCCTCATTAACTGTAATGCCTCTTATTGGCGTTTATTTAATCTCAATGTGTAAATTGCATTTACGGCTTATTAAAACATCTAATTTAGAGCTTTGATACATTTTGTTTTAAAAACATTAATTTGAGGATGGTATAATGGAATAATGTATCGGTTTGCCCTGATCTGGTAATGATTATTGTAATAATATGGGGAGGATAACAATATATCATGTTTCTTCTCCTTTCTAGAGATGGAATGCTTTCATATAGTCATTTCATAGAACTGATTGAGATAATGGGGTGATGCATTCAGATCGTAAGACAGGTTGTGATCTTAAAGCGTATGTCAAGGGGGCAAAACATACTTAGTACATTTCTGGCATACAAACACATTTTCTGATGTTTTATCTTTTTAAATATGTTGCAAGTACACAAAAATAACTGCTGATGTGCCAGAAATATAGTGTGCTCTTACCTTTCTCTTTGACATGATAAGATGGCTCTGAATTTCTGAGCACACGGTGTCAGCCCTGCTTACCTAATTTCTGATGGATTATAAAGAACACAGACCCCCTTTTTTTTTGCTTGTGCACTGGCAGGATAAGAAGTTAACAGCTCGCAAGATTCCTGGTAAAATCAACATGTTTTGTTTTGCATTTACTGAACAGATATAACAAAGCACTTCCAATGGTATACTAGCAGACCAAAAGGGAGCAAATAAGAGAAGTGCACTAGTCGTGTTTACTTACACTTTAAGTCTCATTGGGGGGAATTAATCAAAGCAATTGTGACAGTTTTAGGCTCTTTGATCATTTTGTTTTATGTGCAAATCTGTCTTTTAACATGTGCATGTAACAGTGTGTGTCTGCTCCTGGGTAACACTGTGTCACAATGCAGTCACTAAGCCGATAAACTTGTAGAAGCTGGAATCCAAAAGTCCTTAGCAGAGAAGTTTATTGTACTCAGTTAGTGACAACTTTTTCACAAACAGCACTGAGTCTTCTCAAGCCAGCTAGTAACAAAAACACATAAACAAAAAGCCTATATCTGTCAGAGATCTACGTAAACATAGAAAACAGTTTCCCCCTCAGTGAATAAAGGTGCCAAGCTATGCCTTTAACCACCTGCTGTCCGACCGTTGTAATTAAACGGGCGGACAGAGGCTTCTTGAATGCGGGTGGGCGTTTTAGCGGTGGGCACGAGCGGGAAATCAGCCTGCACTGTAAACAGCCAGCGATGGCTGTTTACATACAAGCATTCGGGCGTCTGTAGAGACGCCCGTTTGCTTGTAATAAGCGTGCGGGTGTGCGCTCCCCCCCTCCGCCGCAGCTGCTGATGGCAATCCCGAGCTCCGCTGTGCCCGGTGAGAGCCTTGGACCAGCACAGCAGCTCTGCGGCCGGAGATCAAACGGAGCTCAGTACACGAGCTCCGTTTGATCTCCTCCTCCTCTTCGGAATGCAGGCAATGATGTGTATTACATCACTTCCTGCATTCAGTATCACTCTCCGGTACAGAAACCAGAGAGAAGCTGGTGAAGCAGGTGTTTGCTTCATCAGCTTCTCTGGGGGTCCCTAGGTGACATTAGGGGTCTTAAAGACCACTGATGTCTCCATAAAGAGGACCTGTCACTGAAAATTGGCTATCACAAAGGGGGCTTGTTAGTCCCCTATGTGATAGCAATAAAGTTAAGTGTTGTAAAAATGTTTAAAAGTATTAGCAATTTTAAAGCTTAACATGTTTGGTGTCTATTTACCCAACATGACCCCGACTGTTATGTTTTGCCAAAATTTGGGTAATAATAACTGTAGAATAACATAACGTAAGGAAAACTTTTTTTTTTTTCCAAATGTTCGGTACTTTTTCATTTCAGTACAGCGTTGCATGACGGAATAAATGTCAGAATAAATGTCAGTCAAAGTACCGCTGCGCTGAACACTGAAAAATGGCCTGGACAGAAAGGGGATGTAAACACCCCGGTCAGCAAGTGGTTAAACACCTGCCAAAAAAACCAAAAACATTTTGCTCAGTTCTCACTAGTTACAAGTCTTCATCCCTGGAGTCTATTAAACCTCATTTATCAACAACATTACACTAGCACCATAAATCTGGTGCAAATATATTCTGTGCAAGTTCAAACACTCGCAATTGCTAAATTCCCCCCAGTATGAATATGCAGTGGAAACAATCAGAGGAACACAAAGACATTTTCCATTTTCCTAAATCTTACATTATAAAGCGGAACTCCAGAAATGATCTTCTATGGAAACTTACATCAGTCCAGCTTGGCTCAATGTAGATATCCATGGTTTATATCTGGAGGGCCCCTGAGAATGCTGAAAATCATAGTAGTAATCTGCACTACACCCTTGTTATTAACAGGAAAAGGCAAGACAAGAAATTACAAAATATGATTGAAGAAGATCATTTCTGTCTTCACCATTTTAACTTCACATACTAAGTAACTTATACATGGGTCTGTATTTATGACAGATTATACAGGAACACATATTAAATAAAATAAACGTGGTTTTGCAAGTATTACACTATATGGTTTTACTCTGGTTCAGTGAATAATTAGTGTTTTCTATTGTTTTTGTTTCTCTTTCAGAGACATTTACTTATTTGATTGACTTGGCCACCAACAACACCTTTGCCTTGTTTCACAGCAAATACCGTTTCATGGCCCAGGATGTACAAGATTCGGTGAAGGAGCTGTTCACTGACCTGTCTCTGAATATTATGGGAGCGGACATGCCATTAGAAGATGCATTCTCCCGGTTTTTAGATGCACTTTTTCCTCTTGTTTACAACCACCTTATAAACCCAAGGAAAGCATCACTGTCAGAGGAGTACTTGGATTGCCTGCGCTTGACGCGACAAGACATTAACCCGTTTGGAAATTATTCTCATGAGATGACTGTACAGTTGTCCAAATCATTGTGGACCTGCAGAATGATGAAGCAGGCATTAAACATGGCAGAGCAAGTCATTAACAGTACTGAGCATGCAGGCTTGACACGGGAGTGCACCCACGCACTGGTAAAAATGCAGTATTGTCCCCACTGCCAGGGGCTGACTCTTATCCGGCCATGTGTTGGTTACTGTCTCAATGTAATGAGAGGATGTTTGGCCAGCCTGGCGAGTCTGGATGGCCCTTGGAGAGAATTCATAAATTTGGTGGAGCATCTTGCTGATCAGATGACAGGGTCACATGATCTGGAGCAATCTCTTCTAGGGATCAGGGATGTAATTGAGCAGTCCATTCAACATGCAGAGTCACAAGGCTCTCATCTTTCCAAGATGGTAAGCCAAAGCTTTCTTCTTTCTCTGTATACATGGTCAATTTTTAGGGTGAAGCAGGTTGAAACACAATTGTGTAAGAATGCCATCCATGCTGCTTAAACCAGGACTTATGTTCAGTAACGGTAACCCCCTCCATCACATTGCAATTTTTTCAGTGTACACAAACAAGTTTTGATTTATAATGTATATAAAGTACATCTATGGTGCTCAGACTATGAAAATGACACTATTTACATGTACTTAAAGTATAATTGAAGCCTCTGGTTTTTCTGCATATATCTACTGCTAGCCGCGCGTGCACCCGCATGCAGACACAGTGGGACAGAAAGTGCCAGCAAGCAGAGAGGAGTCAGCGCTGGATCGGAGACCCACAGCAGCGCTGGAGAGAAGGCTGAAAATACAGGAAAGAAGATCGGATTAAGAGACATAATTTAAGGTAAGCGCTTTAAAAAAATTAATATTGGGGGGAGGGAAAAAAACTTATCCTTTAATGTCACTTTAACATGTAATAAAAGAGCATTATAACAAGCCATTACCTTAACTCTCTAACTGTTGGTACTGTGAAGTAATTCATTTTCAAAGATCACACCAAAGATTCTGAAGTGGGGTTTTAGTCATTTCTAACTTCTTAGAAACACCTAGTGTCTGTTTACATCAGTGGGCTGGCAGGCTGCCAACATTGGCTCTCATGGGAAAATGCTAAGATTTAATTGCCTCTGTTGGGAACTTTAAGCAAATTGGTTGAGAGCGCTACTACTGTATAAAAATCACTCACGTTTAAGATGTCACTGTGTCCCAGAGAAATCCTCTGCGAACGCTGTGCAGAAAAGTAGTGTTGACCCAGAAGCTAGGATGCCGGGTGTGATGAGAGTGGGTGGATGGGTATATGAACAGACCTTGACTAGCCCTCTTATCAAGTGCTGAGGGCTATGTGGGCTTGATGGGCTGCTAATGGCAGTATCTGGTTGCAATCAACTTATGTGACTAAAGCACATAGGGATTTGTAGCTGGCTGAGGTTGGTATCATATGGCCATGCCTGAGAATAGGCTGAACAGTAGTGGTATGAGTGCTGTTATGAGCTGTAAGGAGATAGCTGGCCAGGCTGAATCCTGTCGGCTGTGCAAGAGAAGGAGCTCTGCGGCGGTACTGTAACTGTCAGAATAGAGTGAGCGGTGGATGGAATCGGCGGTCAGCGCAGGGCTGATCGGCAGACACAGTCCGTCTCGCTGGGTAGTAAGGGGTGTAACACTGCAGTTGGCTACGCGTTTCAAGGCTGCTGCCTCTTTGTCAAGACTGTGTTCGTGGTGGAAGAAAAAATGCGGGAAGGATTTGGTCTATTTAAATTTGACAGCTGGGAGGAGCCCAGGGCCGTCCCGCAATTGTGATTGGTGGAACGATGGAAGGGGGGTGGGACAAGCTCGTAATAGCTTCCCTATGCCGTGAGCACTTGGGCTTGAAGGCTGCAGTCAGCAGGACGTTCCCATTATTGCAAGTACAAACAGCCTTACTAGCGGACTTTCCATTTATATCGATCATTTCCTCCAACCCATTGTACAAATTCTTCCCTTCTACATGAAAGACTCCGGTCACCTGATTGAAGTACTGTCATCCTATAAATGGGACCCAGCCTACAATTGGATCTCATTGGATGTCACGTCCTTGTACACGTCCATCCCTCATTTAGTTGGTCTCAACGCCTTGCAATACTTTCTTTCCAAATCCTCCATCAATTCCAGCCAAGCGCAGTTCATTACAAATTGTACAGAATTCAGCCTAACCCATAATTATTTCTCCTTTCTGGGAAAATCCTACTTACAGACCCAAAGGACAGCTATGGGCGCAAACTTTGCCCCAAGCTATGCCAACTTGACGATGGGCCCTCCACATTTGGGATAACAATCCATTTGCCAAACGGCTAGTATTCTATGGAAGGTACATAGATGACATCCTGATCATCTGGGATGGCCCCACCGACGGTGTACCCAATTTTCTGGATCACTGCAATGACAACCAGTTCGGGCTTTCATTTACTTACATAGTTAACAACCAGGAAACTAGTGTTTCTAGATCTGGAAACTATCCTTTGAAAACATGGATATCATTACCAGCAACCATGTGAAACCTAAAGGCGGGAACTCCTACCTTCACTATAGGAGCTGTCACCACTCCAGATGGAAGAACAATATTCCCAAGAGCCAATTCTGTAGGCTAAGGAGGAATTGCACCCGAAACAAAGATTACACTACATCTAGTCAACTCCTTCTGGACAAATTCAGAGAGAAGGAATATCCAGAGGACCTTATTGTGGAGACACTCTCCAATTATTCTAAACCTGACCATCACCGAAATTCAAAAGACTCAGCGATTGGCGAAGCTGATAAAATCAGATTCATTACCACCTTTAATAACAGTTACACAGCCATAACAGAAGCAAAGAGTTTTTCCCCTGAGGAGATCCCACCATAACTCCAAAGTATTCAAAAGTTTAGTAAAATATATATGTTTTTAATGAATAAATTTAAAATGCACACATATGAAAAAGGACAGACATACATATAAGACATATAAGACCGAATCCTTCCCGCATTTTTTTTCCACCACGAACCCAGGCTTGACAAAGAGGCAGTGGCCTCGAAACGCGTAGCCGACTGCAGTGTTACACCCCTTACTACCCAGCGAGACGGACTGTGTCTGCCGATCAGCCCCGCGCTGACCGCCAATTCCATCCACCACTCACTGTATTCTGACAGTTACAGTATTGCCGCAGAGCGGCTTCTCTTGCACATCCGAAAGGATTCAGCCTGGCCAGCTGTCTCCTTATGGCTCATAACAGCACTTATACCACTACTGTTCAGCCTATTCTCAGACATGGCCATATGATGCCAACCTCAGCCAGCTACAAATCCTTATGTGCTTAAGTCACATAAGTTGATCGCGACCAGATACTGCCATTAGCAGCCCATCAATCACTGAGCCCACATAGCCCTCAGCACTTGATAAGAGGGCCAGTCAAGGTCTGTTCATATACCCATCCACCCACTCTCATCACACCCGGCATCCTAGCTTCTGGGTCAACACTACTTTTCTGCACAGCGTTCGCAGAGGATTTCTCTGGGACACAGTGACATCTTAAACGTGAGTGATTTTTATACAGTAGTAGCTCTCTCAACCAATTTGCTTATTGTCACTTCACACAGGGTCCCTCACCCTGTCTTCATAGAGCTTGCACACTGTTTTTTAACCATTGTGTTTTAAATTATTATTTTTAAACCATTGTTAAATTAATTGTGGCCACCCCCTATGAGTGGTTACCCTTTGTAGTGCGCTTTTCCATTTTTTCTTCTGTTATGAACTTTTAAAATTTACTTCCCCATAAAGTATATAGATACAGTGGCAAATGAAGGCTTGTTTTAGCATATATAAATACTTTGGCACAGTTTCACTTTCAAGGTGCACTTACACTTTAAAGTGTGACTGCAGATTTTTTTTTGTTTGTTTAATAGTATATAAAGGATTTAAAGCAAGTTTCAAGTTTATGTTGCTGTCTGTGTCACCAGTGGGGAGATTATCCCTCAATTCCTGTTCCCATGACCACACATTAAGTGAGAAGCATTCTCCCAAAGGAAAAACAGGGCCTGACAGAGGGCCTAACCCTTCCCCACTATAGTTCTTTTATTGCTGACTGTGTCCCTGTTGGGGAGTTTTCACCTGATTTGCTTCTAAAGTATACTGTATATAAATATATCTATTATTGCCTTAAAGTTACTTTGTTGCTGTGCCAACAAAATCAAATGAATTGTAAAAGAACATGTTCAGTATTGACCTTTCTGGCACTTAGTGAGTCAAATCTTCTCTCGAAGAGCTACAGGTGCTGCTGATATCTCACCCTTCCGCATGTGTCAAATGCCTGATCCCCACTGCAGGCTTCTGGTTCCACCCGCCGGCCACTATGTCCCTACAGAGTCCTGTAGTGACAAAACGACAGGTAAGAGAAAGCCCTTCAAAAGAGTAGATTTTACCCACCCCCTGCCACTGATGTCACCACACTGTTGTATCCTCAATCCAAATGTCACTTGGGGGCAGCCATCTCAACCTCAACCGGGGAGTGTTGAAGCACTGAAAAAGAAACAGACATCAGAAAAAAAGAAAAAGGCGCCTCCTCCTTGTGCAATATCATTTATTATGAAAATGTAAAAATGGATAACTGTGCTCAAAAACATGATGAGGACATGGACATAAACACCACCAATCCAGCCCTCCAAGATCTTAACCGGACAGAACTTAAATGGACAGCAAAGCCAAACAGAGTAATCCACCGTCACTGGACTTGCCAGTGATGCAGTTTAGTGCCTATGCGTTTCAGGGGCAAGCCCCCTTCATCAGAGCTCCAGGCTTCCTCAGGGTTCTGATGAAGGGGGCTTGCCCCTGAAACGCGTAAGCACTAAACTGTCTGGCAGTGCTGTCCATTTGAGTTCTGCGGTTAAGATCTTGGAGGGCTGGATTGGAGGTGTTTATGCCATTATCCATTTTTGATTTGTCATTAATAAATGATACAACACAAGGAGGAGGCATATGTACAGCAATGTACTCTTTTCTTCAAGCTAGAAGATGGACATCTGCTGGAGACCTATTCTCCCTTGCAATCTTGTACTGGACAGGAAGTTCAGGGACGCCAAGCTGAGAGAGTTGGAGCTGTTCAGAAACTTAATGACTGTAAGTGCTTGGGCAAAAATGTAAAGAAATACTTTGCTGGGGAATGTATATGTGTTTGATCTGAATTCTTTTAAAAAAGGTTTGAGACTTTTTTTAAATGCTACTTTAATTTGCTTTCCCTAAGCTATATATAATCCTTTGCAGACAGACATATAGAGCATCTCACGATGCAGCCTTTTATTATATCATTCTGTGCTGAGCAACATTCATTTCATGACCCATTCGCTGTGAGTAAGGCTGAAGCATGCTCAGAGAGAGTGTGTGT